AGGCTCTTGAAACCTCTTCCATAAAATCCCAGAGAGGTAAACTCACACCTACACATATGTCCTGGTCTTGTTCATTTTTCTAAAATTGTCTAGTTCTCTATGAACAATAACAGCACAAATGCTTTACAAATTAAATTTTAATAGGTACAAATGTTTTGGTTTTTCAGCTGTTTTCACAATGGCTTTAGTATGGAATGATGAAGCAATCCTATTATTCATAAAGACAGGAACAAAACAGCATTTCATACTTCAGGTGAATCATTAAATGCTCACCACTAACATGGTGTTGGGAGTGGCAAAAACCTTTTAATACATTTTAAACTTACTTTGCAGTTTGGGGAACAAATCCTCTTAGCAGAGCAACTCTCCAGTATTTTAGTCAGCGCATTCTCTTCTCTTGAGCACATCTGGAGGGATGCCGATTTATTTCCCTCACACTCTTCTGGATTTGAAAACATTTGCTTGAGAGTTTCATGATTTAGCTAAAGAGATTGGGAGGAAAGATTTTGACAGGTGAGTGAAAAGGCAGGAAGAGAAATTTGTATTGTTATGGTTGGTTGAACAGTGTCAGTCAGCTTGCACTGGATTTGGCATTTTTATCCACCTATCGATAAGGAGCTGACATAGGTCAACGTCACATGTTTTAAGCTGTTCCAAGTAAAGCTGCTTTTGCAATTGAATGATGATGATTCTATCAATACAGACAGTGCTCCAGATGTTTCGGAATTACACCTAAGGTGCTTGATACTATTGGTATTATTTTTGCTTTCTTTTGCCACAGTTATTCTACTTCTACATATTTTGTGGTTTTCTCAAACCTGTTTCTTTATCAATATTATTATTTAATAGTTTATATTATTATTTAATAGTTTATATCAGGGGTGTCAAACTCAAGGTTGTGGTTGGATCCAGCCCGCGGGGCCGCCCTGGTCGACCCAATGTAAAGAGGAAAGATCTGGCCAGGATGGCTTCGGCCCGGTCTACCCAGTACTAAGAGTAAAGATTGGGTCACCCTGGCTTCAGCCCGGTCTACCCAATGTGAAGAGGAAATGTGCCAGCAGTTTGGGGAGTGGCATCAAACTAACCACGCCCACCCAGTCAGCCACACCCACCCAGTCGGCCATACCACCTCCCCCCCACAAGGTCAACCACAGCCCTGATGAGGCTCTCAATGAAACTGAGTTTGACACCCTTGGTTTATATCATGCCTTTTTCTATAGTGTGTATCTATAGCACTCCCTCCTCTAATTTTGCTTCACAAGAATCTCCTTTGATGTAAGGTGGGCTGACAGAGAGAGAGAGAGAGAGAGAGACAAGCCCATAGTTACATTGCAAGCTTCCATATCTAAGGATAAAAATGAACCTGAATCTTTCCAGTCACATCCCAACATACTCCCCATTACACCACACTGACTCTCACAATAAAAATCTCATTACTCCAGCCCATTCTCTTCAATGGATGAAAAACACTCTGGCCCATTTCCTACTTCTTCTCACTTCAAATACAGGATTCAACAAACTTACTTTTAATCCTTCTGGTGGAAGACGCCATATCCTCACCCTTCCTCATGACAAATGAGAAATTCTTTCTCACACATAAGGAAAACTAAGACTCAATATGCACTAAGGAAAATTTGAGAATCAAAGTCCAAGCAACAATACAGGAAAAAATGAACAGAGAGAACAAAAAAATCTTGCAGAGTAAACACAAGAGCATAAGCATTATTCCTCAAATAAGAAGGGCAGTGAGGATAATTGGAATGGGAACCCACAACTGCAAGTTCAACTGGTTCTAATCCGCCAAAGTAGCTAGTGAGAAGAAAGTGCCAGTTCAAGATGTTTGTTTTATAATGTAGTTTACAAAAATAACATATTGCATGGAAGTTGTGGTACTCTACCTGTATCTTCTAAATTTATTAGATGCTGGAAAAGTTTAGAGGAAACTAAGATGTGTATTGTCTAAGATTTCATGGATCGCAGTCCCTTTCGCTAAATGCATGGAAGAATTTATGCATGCGTATGTAAAACCTACCAGAGAGTTGGGAAGGGAAGGGAGGGGAAGGGAGAATGGGGGGTTGGGGACAGGGAAGTGATCAAAGCTGAATTAATATAATAAAGGTATCCTCATTATATGCTGTTAAGCTGTGCCGTGTAAGTAACTTTACGCTCTACTTAAATCATGAGAATTTTAAATCTCCCAATCAATTTCAGCTCATCTGCTTCACAATAAAATCCATCTTTTCTAAATGCTCTTTTGTAAAGGCATTAGAACATGCCCCAAAATAGCATATGCTCCTGTGTACAATCACAAAAGAGAAGGACGATAGGAAGAGCACTTAGACTTATATACCACTTCACAGTGCTGTAGAGCTCTCTCTAAGCAGCTTGCAGAGTAAGCATATTGCCCCCAACAATCTGGGTCCTCATTTTACCCACCTTGGAAGGATGGAAGGCTGAACCTTGAGCCTAGTGAGAGTCAATCTGCCAAACTGCAGGCAGCCGGCAGTCAGCAGAAGTAGACTGCATTCTAACCACTGCGCCACCACGTTTCTATAGTGGTGGGTCAGTAACCATCCTTAACTCCTCAATTTCCTGCATCCACAAGTTCAAGAAACCGCCCAGAGCCCCTCTGTGAGGGAGATGGGTGGTAGGACAGACAGACGCATACTACAGTTCAAATCATTTCCCTAACAGAAATAACATAAAGAGAAAAATCTCTTACTTTTGATTCATAAGAGTCATCTGCAGGTTCTGCATAGCCTTCTTCAATAAGTATGGTACAGATATTCACCACTTTCGCAATGCCAGAGCACTGAAACACATCCACATGTAAGATGCCATGTACAATTGAGAAAATCTTCACCATCAGAACATGGTCGCTGACCAAGGAAGCAAATCTTTGGTTTGCAGCATAACTCCACTGTTCTCCACAAACAAGAGACCATGCAGAAGGACGTATTCTGCGCACCTTGAATTCCAGAGCCTGAATAAAAAATATCAAAACAAATACATATTTTCCAAGAAAATGAAATATTCTGACTGCCACACTCCCCCCCCCCGCCAGAACACTTTCCTGTCATTCATTAAAAAGTAGAGAAAAGTTTACCTGAAAGGGAATCTCTCGGAGGTTGCTTGGAATCTCTCGCAACTGGTTTAAAGCCACTTTTGATCTATTGCCATAATCCACATAGAACACCTATAAAACAAAAAGCAATTAAAAAGAAACTTCTTCCAAGGCTTAGAGAAGAAAAGAGTGCAATCCCAGGCGACAGTGAGCTAAATTACAAATACAACACATTACATAAAGCCAAACTGAACAAAACGTGGATTAACACAAAGTGCAGAGCTGTTGTGAAAGTGGAGGTCTGCTTCATTCAAAACAGGACGCTATTTCCTATTGTTGCTTCAGTCAGCTCTTTCTATCATCTCCCCCAAAGAGTATTGTAATTGACTATTCTTTTCCAAACATTCATTGAAACATGGCCCTGTACTTAAAACTTCTCCAAAACAAATCAACGAGCAGCCCTAAGACGCAACCCATAAAAACAATTTGATCTATGGATACCCGTGGATGCTTCAAGGGTATCCCTGCTAGTTCCAGCGAATGCCAGAAATAGACAGGAATCACAGATATTTTTATGTGACTAGGAGTATATATGTTCCAAATCAGCACAACTGCTGCTGCCCAAAATAGTACAACTTATTGCTCAACTTATTTCTCAAATGGGAAGATAATACTGTAAAGTTACACAGGGGACTCTTGCTATTCAGAAGTAGGATTTTTTTTAAAAAAAAAAAATGTCAGTCTTCTATTCCTTTCCAAAAGAGATCCATGCTTTTATTGCCTTTACTCCAAGCAATCCATAATGTATTTTTAAAATGTAAGCAGAGACCAGTTATTTTTTTCCCCAGATGCTGCCATCTGTTATGCTAGACGAGCATCTTTCAACCTTGGTGACTTTTTAAGATGGGTGAATTTCAGCTTCCAGAATTCCCCAACCAGCTCTGCTCTGCAGAATTCTGGGAGTTGAAATCCAACCATCTTAAAGTCATCAAAGGTCAGAAACACTGCACTAAACATATTCCATAAGATTATACTTGAACATGCTCAAGGATTTGAAAAAGAAGCACCTCGGCACTGTCTCCAGACACATACAGGATTTGGACACGGTAGTATCTCTCTTTTTCCCATTCAGTAAAAGGTGCCAAACAAACCAAGTCTGGATAAGGGCGAATAGGCAAAGAGGTCAACTCCAGCTGGCGAATCTCAGCGGACAGTTTTTGTAATGCAGCCATACTTCTTTCATCTGTTCTGTATCCACAGAAGTGCCCAACCTCTACAATCTGAAAAGGGCAAGATTTGTTTGTAGCATCCTCTGACACAATACACACACAGAAACAAGCCTGGATTTTCAAACTGCTCTTAATTAATAGGATTTAGTTAATACTCAGTTAAATGGAGAGTTTGGGAGTCAAGTAGGACAAGAGAAAAACGGCAGAAATGTAAATGATTTATCTCAGGATTTACCCCCAAATTATTATATTTTGCAAGTGACTATTTTGAGCTAATTATTTCTGTCTTTCTGTAACATTTAAATATTTTTAGCTCAATTGCAAATCATGGGCATGTTTTTTTCGGCAAAATTAACAATGTTTTAAGGCATACTCTTTAGGAATGAAGCTACAGGTAGTCTTTGCTTAATGACCACAATTGTAATTGGCAATTCTGCCTCTAGGCAAGATGATCATTAAGTGAGGCAAAACATGAATGCAACAATTTATGACTTCATTTCCACTAACTCATGGGGGGTAATTAAGCAAGACATTATATGACCGCAACTTGCAATTTTGTTGCCAACTTCTTCACTGACTCTAGCTGGCTGTGAAGCACTCAAATGTCAGTCACATGACTGTGGGGATGCTGCAATGGTTGTAAACAAAAGGCAGTCTTCAAATTACTTTTTCAATGCTGTCAAAGCTTCAAATGGTGGCTAACAGAGCAGTCATTAAGCAAGGATTACCTGTACTATGATTCACAAGCTAATGAAGCTGTTTTTTTTTTTTAATCAGAGAAGTTGGTGCTTTTCAAAGTCATCAAGGGACCAGCCAAATATCCCAACTCTAGAATATCTATATCCAAAATCTCAGGGGCTGCCATAAAGAAGAGGGAGTCAAGCTATTCTCCAAAGCGCCTGAGGGCAGGACAAGAAGCAATGGATGGAAACTAATCAAGGAGAGAAGCAACCGAGAAATTTCCTGACAAAACAATTAATCAATGGAACAACTTGCCTCCAGAAGTTGTGAATGATCCAACCCTGGAAGGTTTTGAGATTGGATAACCATTTGTCTGAAATGGTATAGGGTTTCCTGCCTAAGCAGGGGGTTGGACTAGAAGACCTCCAAGGTCCGTTCTGTTCCGTTCCGTTCCTATTCCTATTCCATGTCTATTCTATTCTATTAACAGGCAGGAGGGAAAAGTCTAGCATTTAAAAAACCTGGAACACACAAGTCTTTGCAGAATATACAGATGTGCATCTGTGGTTTCATTATTGTTGCCAGTAAAAAGACCTATCTTGCCCACTTGTATGCCTTGGCAGAAAATCATTTAAGATATTAAATGACTGGAGAGCTCAGATTTATAAATGTATCTGGTGTGAAGTTTGACACAAATGATTTTAAGATTTAGTTTACTAAGAAACTGTTTATCTCCCCCATTTTAGAGTTCACCCCACTAAAGTTGAACAGGTACTGCACACAACGGCACACAGACATATTTATCACCTACCTCAGTGACACAAATAGATAAATCAAGACTATTTATAGTCTGCAGTTTATCCAAGGTATTACAAAACTTCTGCACGGGAGTCACAGTATGTTTCTGAAAGTCAATGTTCACTCTAAAAACAAGTTATCAAAATAATAAACAAATGCTAGTCATTAATCATGTATAATCTAAAGACAATAAGTAAGTAAGTCACCTTTGGTGCTATTCCAGAAAGGTGGCCTATGGACCCTGTTTTTCCATATATATAAAGCACACACATATATCCATTATCAAGATAAAACTGTTTAAATCAACTGTAAGGTATGCAAAAACCTTTTATCAACTTGATTAGGATTGGAACCCCACGTTCCCTTCATTGTATTTTCATTGCATTTCCTGGGTGTGAAGCCCTTTTATTTTCTATACAAAGGATGGACAGTTGTGCTAGGCCTTCCACAGAATTATTTTTTGCCTATGACTATTGGCAAACATTAAAAAACCAAACAGTGGATTAGGAAGGAGCTGATTAGTTACTCTTAATTCATTTCGTAAGATGCCAGATCAAGCGAAAAAAGTCATATGCCATTGTGCTGTCCAGCCAGTGTATGGGAATTGTATAGCTAGGTAGCAATTGTGAGCTGTTTGTTCCCTGAAGGGAATGCATCACGGTAAATGTAGTTAAGATATCCTGGAAAATGTAGTCCATGTCACGTGACCACATCTGTAATCCTAATTGGTCACTAAATTGACCCTCGATGGGTTGGGGGAGTTTTCCTCACTCTTGGCTGAACTCATGGACTCTTGGTAACTGTTCTATCGTTACAAGATGGGAGAAAAAGGATAGGAGATAAACCATCTTTTTACCTACAATACAGATATGCAAAGGATTGGTCATTAAAGAAGAACTTCATCACAAATGTGAGTTATGAGGATACCTGATGAACGAATAAAAGTACTTTGTTATGGATGTTTTGTGGAGTTTATCTATCTGCATCTGTACAGGATACAGAATAGCCATGGTCTTGGACATTCCAAGCCTCTTCTCCATTTTGGAGCTCCATATCACTCAGTCTTTAGTATTCCAAATTCTGCATTTTGTTTTTTTGTTTTTAAAAGCTCATTTCATATTAGAATCTTGCAAAGTATATTTTGGCTCTGCTTAGGCATTGCTGAATCAAAGCAGAACAGCTTCCCTGTCAGATAAGGAACCAAATCCAGTTTCATAATAACATACCTCGTGTCCCTTAGAATGCTGCTACTTATACTTCCCAATTTGTCCTCTATCTCCTCTGAGGAATGGGTGTTCAGTTCAAATGGAATCCTCATTTGTGCCATTTTAAGAGCAAAATACACGGCAGGAAGTGTTTTAAAACGTTCTGTAGGATTCCGAGTAAATTCTACAAAGGCTCTAGGTAAAAAAATTAAAAAGAAATAAAATTGTCTCATAGGGAAAATATGGGCATGTGCATTTGTGTACAAACACACACATGTAAATATACAGATAAAGGTATTAAGATATTAAGATAAGAGAGAGAGGAAGGGGGGAGAGAGAGAGACAGATGATGATGAAGATAGACAAGACAGACAGATTGATTTGCTTCTCACTTCATTCACAAATGGTGAAAGAAAGAAGGGAACTGAGGTGTGTGGTAGAGCAGTGGTCACCAACCGGTGGGCTGCGATCCACTAGTGGGCCGCGACAAACTTCTGGTGGGCCGCAGAGAAATCTCACCCGCAGAGCACCTCCCCCAAAGCAATTAATCCAGGCTGTTCAGAAACACAAGGCTGCGCCACCCACATGGCCCGCAGGAACCCTTTTATGTGACAGACTGAGCTAGCTGATGCAGATAGATAGATCTCTGAATGAATCTGTGATTCTGTGAGCAACTCAATCTGCCTGCCTGCTTTGCCTGATTTTGGGTAAAAATTGCTCTTTTTTAATAAAAGATTCAATATTTACATACATGGTGTGTTGTGAGTTAATTTTATGAGTTTGCTTGCAAGCAAATTTTATGTGACAGACTGAGTTAGCCGATGGCAGATAGATAGATATCTGAATGAATCTGTGATTCTGTCAGCAACTCAATCTGCCTGCCGGCTTTTGGGTAGAAGTTGCTCTTTTTTATAAAAAATTCAATATTTATATAAATATTTATAATATTTACATACATGCCATGCCCAGTCACATGACCACCAAGCCACAACCACAAATTAGGCCAGGCCCACAGAACCTGTTAGTGGTCCCTGGGATTTAAAATTATGAGTTTGGTGGTCCCTGAGGTCCAAAAGGTTGGCGACCCCTGTGGTAGAGAATGTGCAAAAGAAGAAGAAAGTGAACTAGGATATTGTTGGTAGAACAGTCCTAAGAAATGTTCCTGATGCCTTCTGATTCTCCAGGATTCCCATGGAAATATACAGAAACAAAGCATGACTATCAGGAGGACTCTTCTAGATACTGAGGGAAGTAACATAAAACTGGAAATTTAGAGCAAGCAAAAGGGAGCAGGAACCAGGAGAGGGGCAATTCATATTTCTGTATTTTCTGTTGCTTCCTGACATAATGATGTTTTCTTCCCATAACAGAGCCACCGCCAACATACAAAGATCTGAGAACCACAATACAGAAATCTGAGAATTCCCAGTGGGCAAAAGGAGAGGCCAGGAACCTCAGAAGGGCGGTCAGAGGAGTAACCGAACGAGCCCTTGGCTGAAGAGGAGAGAGAAGAGTTGCAGCTGATTACTCAGAAGATGGTTAACAAAAACAAAAATTACATAAAATGAAAACATACAAATCCACTTACTTGCTTCCATCATAAACAATGGATTTGACTTGACCACACTGTCTGAACAGAGATTGCAGCTGCTTATAATACAGAAAGCCATAGGGAGGAATGTTCTTTAACTGTTAGGAAAAATAAATGTGCATCTTCAGAAAGGTTGTATTCTGATACTTTTAAATAAGTTTGTTGTTATTATTATTGTTATTGTTATTATTACAGCAGCAGAACTGCAAAAACCTGTGCTACCCGGAACATCATACATTTTAAGAAGATACTTGGTTGATAACTAGGATGCTGGCAGAAACGCGTATCAACCACCAGCGCAAGTCAATGACATTTGTGATACATTTTTAAATGTTCAGTTGACTGAGTTTCATATTTAATGAATAAAAGAGATAATAATAATAACATGAATTAAATCATTATTCAACATTTATACAGTATATTCTAAGATAGATTACCACAGCAAATATCAGTTGATTAAATCTAGCTCTCCTATCTTGAACAGCCTAACTTCTACTAGTATCCAAGTTCTGCCAAGTGTGACCTTACTTCCTGCTAGAAGAATATAGTGTCTCTTGGCTACCATGAAAAGTTTCACTGGTTCTTTTTTTTTCTTTGTTCCCAATCTCTATTCCTCCAACATTTTTCTCTTTTCCACATATTCTTATAATCCACTGTAAGTGGACTTGAAATAAGCTAGGAAATGGAGCAGCTATGGCTACTGTAGCCATGAAAATGTATGCCATAATAAATACTTGTGCCACAAAATTAAGTTACATTGGCCACAAAAGATTAATGCACCTACCATGTGGAAAATTAAGACCCCTTTGTGAAAGCCACTTAAAACTTAACTTACATACCATCACTGTTGTTTTGGGATCTCTGCCTGACAATTCCCTCACAGCAACTTCTTTATCATGGTGCACAAAGGTAAAATAATTTGGATAGAAAGCTCCAGCAATCACCACCTGAGAAATAAGAGGGAGTTGTCATCATCATAACCATCATCATTTTAGCCATTTTCTTTCTACTGCAGGATGAAGGTCTCTTCTGCATGTTTCCAATCTATATAGTCTTGAGCTTTCTCTTACCAATTTGGCCCACAATACTTGCTGATGTTAAGAGGGAGTAAGTTGCTATAAAAGGGGGACTTCCCTCTTAGCCAACCCCTTCTTCCCTCTGCAGTTACTTAGATGATCATGTGACCCATGCTTATTCCTAGTTACATCCCTTTGGTTAGAAAGTTACTTGGCCATGACATCTATGAATGGAATAGTTCTTTAAAATATAATGATTGTTTCACCATTTGTTATATACCTACTGAATCCTTACAATTTATATTGACTGTTTCCTAGTATGATTTGATTGCTTATTGTACCCTATGATTATTATTAAGTGTTGTACCTGATGATTCTTGACGAATGTATCTTTTATTTTAATGTACACTGAGAGCATATGCACCAAGACAGATTCTTTGTGTGTCCAATCACACTTGGCCAATAAAGAATTGAATTCTATTCTATTCTATTCTATTCTATTCTATTCTATTCTATTCTATT